AATCGATCGCAATCTCCAATGCCTACACCCGGAGCCCCTCCTGCCCGAAGATCCGCACGAGAGAGGCGACCACCAGCTTACCTGGAGGATTACCAATGCTAGGGAAGAATGTGGTGAAACTTCATGGTTTATTGTCAGTGTCAACATTGTTGAAAATGTGCGTGTAATTTTTAATTCAGTAAAGCCTATTTACTTATTTCAAGGCGCTCTCTCATTTCACGTCTCCATAGAGCCCCTTAGCCTACGGAGAGACGTTGGTTCTCTGTGTGTGTTCTACCGTCTTTATAAAGGGGAGTGCTCTGAGGAACTTTTTGAACTGGTGCCACCGTCTCGTTTCTACCATCGCACCTTCCGCCAAAGGAGTAGAGTCCATCCCCACAACTTAGATGCCTGGCATTGTAAGACCACGCGGGCATCTCGTTCGTTTCTTCCTCGAACCTGCAAGGCGTGGAATGATCTTCCTCCTGAAGTATTTTCTGTGCGCTATGACGTGGGGTTCTTCAAAAAGCATGCTTACAGGGCTCTCAAAGGCTGGCATCGCATAGGCAACTCATCTGATGTTGCAAATGGCCATGGGCGACGATGACCACCTCCTATCAAGGGGCTCGTCTTCTCGTTTGCCTCCTTCTTTACATAAAAAAAAGTTCTTTTTAAAAAGTACAAGCTTCACCTTATTATTGGTAATATCATTCTTCCGTCCATATGCGATTCTTCAGGAACTTCGCACTGTGGTTGCTAGAACCTACAAGTAAGTTAACCCTTGACCAGGCGACGGGGTAATGTCTCCCATATAGTGTTTCGTTTATGATTGCCAGGCTTTAACTTTCAAATTCATATAAAAACGTTAAATCAATCTTTTATAAGTAGCATTATATTCTACGAAACACATTCACGCAGCATAATGACACCGAATTATGCGTCAGTTTACACGGAAAGGCAATGTGTTTAGTTTTTCCCATTATCATATTGATACTGGTATTAATGCGACATTATCTTTTATTAATACCATTCCGACAACAGATTGTTAGGAGTGCAAATCTATATCAGATACATTTCAAGTCTTGCTGATTTTTCGTGGCTTGTTAAAGGGTTAGCTGACGAGTAAGGTAACTTTCTTTATCTACGATTTTATAATAGCTTTAGGTCGTGGTTTTATAGGCAGAATATGGCAGCTCCGTCAATACCCATATTCCATCCCATTATCTGAATAACGTCATTTGTTTTCATACAATGTTGTCTGAAATTGTGATCCATCACACGAGTTGAATAACATCGCATTCAATAGTTGGGTGGCTTACGCTTCACCAGTATTTTAAGACCTCTGAATGTACCCTTGAACACATCTGAATGTTCTGTTTATTGTTCGAAATGTGAAGGGGGTAGAGATCTTGGTGTAGTGGCGGTGTGGTACCATTGTTGCGTCGGATTCGAGTGCGAATTGTCACAGGCAGCGTGGGCGATTTTATCAATCGGTTATTATTCTGCGCATAACAAATGGATGATGAGTCATTTACATAAAGCCTTTATGGAGATTGCAGAAGTTACAGGCGAGACAGGAGACATCTTTCATGTGGTAATAATGCAAACGCATTAAATTAGTTTTGATAGTTTAGGTTATTTCAGTAGTTGTATTTTTGTTTGTAATAATCCATAAATATCCTACTATAAGGCATGGGTCTCCTTTCAAAAGAGTATTGCCCAGATTTCACTAAGCTCGTTCCATGTAGATAAAAAATTGTGTGCCACATAGCCAAGAAGAAAACTAACTTATTTATTTAAAAAATCATAAAAAAATATAATTAAACTTGTTTTTTACAACAAACAATTGAAATACGCTATCGATTCATAAAGACAGTTAAGAACACATAGTTCTTTTATAAAGAAAAGCACGTTACTCCTACGACCCGCACCGTTACCGCCTGTAAAGAAGCAAATAAGCAATATCAGGAGCCGTCACTCCTTATCTAAAAACTTGCTTTCCTCGATATTTTCATTCCATTCGACGTAGTCTGTATCGACCGCTATTGTCGAGGTGACATCTAAAAGCATTGTGTCGCACAATCGCGCCATTACCAGCGCTATTGTGACAATGTTAACATATTGTTATCTAGATCAAGCGCCATCTATTGTCCAAAAGATTTTTGTGAGAATTCCGTTGGTTTTTTTAAAAAGCTGGTTTTTATTAACAAATGTCATCAATTTCTGTAAACATTTTTTTGCTTTTTTAATTATCTATATTATACTCAGTAATTGTGTTATTTAAAGCTGAGCTATTATGTCATATAGATAATGAAGTTATTTTTATTTTAACCAAAATTGATTGACAGCGAGGAGTACTTTTGTGTTGGTGACAGACTTAATATATCAGTAAAAATAAATTATACGGTAAATATTTATTAGTTTAGCAATTGCAACTGTGCGAAAACATGGTACTTAGCTGTTATTTGTCTATTGTTTCTAAAGCAATGGGTACCACTGTTCCACTTTTCTTAGTAAATATTGCTACAATTTTAAAATAGGCTTCTCGCTCATAGAGGATGACATGACATTGCTTAGGTGCGCTGACCACGGGCTTTGTTCCGCGGCCACCACAATGACTGGTTAATGAGATCAGATCCATCCTTACTGGACAATAGCACCCCCACCTCACTGCCTCACCTCCCCTTACCACCCGATTTTATTAATTAATTCATTACAATAGAACCAAACCGGCTCGGGAACTATCCATTGTTCCACTGATAGTGACTTGGCAACACTGACCTTCGGGTTTGCTGATACAGGGAGATAATGGTTCAATGGAAATATTTTAATTTAAAGTTTTTAATGTGAATTTCGTAAATCACAATGGCTTCGTGTAAAGTTAATAGTTGTAGCTGCAGTATGATGAGATTGGAAATAAAAATACATTGTTATCGCAACATGCACAAAATTTCATTTTTAAGACAAGGTACATAGCCCAAGAGCTGATATTAAAGCTTTCGTCACATGATCGCAGTAGCTACGCCTTGTCGTTGCTGTGTCGCTTTGATTGTCGTAGCCGGAACGTAGCAAATGCTACGGCGTTACCCCAAACTGTTCTTTGCGCCCGTATCCAAATTATATGCATAAATATCATAAAAGTATATTGCGAAATCATAATGCTACTTTCGAAGAACATACTTATAACTGAATTTTTGAATAATTCATTTGTAAATAGATGGATAGCAACGTTCAATATGAACTGCATTAAAATATTGAAATACAAGTACTTACTTCGTTTGAAAACAAACAAAGTTGTGGCATGCTATAGTCCTGTTCAGAAGCATTGTCTCTATTGTTTTTGAACCACAATGAAATTCGTATAAATAGGAGTCCGTGGATTTTACATAATATGAATAAAATGGACAAAGGGCTTTACTGTTCCTGCCATGGAGACATTTTATTGATTACTATTAGGGTAGCACTTGTATCATGTATTATTTTTAATGTAATTCACTTAAAATTTAAACATGCATTGATGTTATTTGTATGTCAATTAAGCTTATATTACTTATTTAGGTGTAATGGGTTACAATATACACGAAAACTTGAATTCATGATAATCTGTGATGTTTTATTAAACTAAATAGCACTGACAAATGTGTGTTATCGCTTCAAGAGAAGTCAACAAGTGACTAAATCTGGAGCTAGGTACATATGTATTATTGAAACTCAAATGATCTTTGTTTCATTGGTAAGCAAATCATACACGAAAACGTCACATTGACTAAACTCTACTAGTCATTCTTAAGGCAGATTCCCCTAGAGGATTCTCTTTGTAAATACGATGAACATTGTACTTATTTACCATTTACAATATACTTACTATACTTATATACTTATTGTACAATACACTTATTTATCACGTATACATTTATCAATTACAATATTTATTTTAAACATCGTAGATCGAGATAACTGCAAGAGCTGAAAGGGTAAAAAAAATCACAGATTTTTGTCATCTAATTACGCAGAAGCTGTGTAATTTAGTAGCAGTAGAGCTCCTTGAGAAAAAGTTCGTCCAGGGAAGTACAGCAACCTTATCTATTTCTGCCGTCAAGGAGTAATGTCAGCATTACAGTGTTCCGATTTTGGAGGGTAAGGTGTTAGTGAAATTACAAGCACATGGGACTTGTCAACTTATGTCTCAATGTGACGGGCGCAGTGGCTTTACGCCTCAGACTTTTGCGATTTAAAGAGCTGTGTGGTACTGCAACTGTTATGGACAGGTGTAGCTTATTATCAGGCGCACGATTTGTTCGTCCCGTCACTTGATATTATAAAAAAAAATAAACAAAAAAAAAATATACCAACATTTTTGTTTCATCATAGTTTTATTTACACCTCGTAAATGGCTAATTTTGAATGTCAACCGGAAACTTATTATAAAAACGCATACATTGCCCGTTAAATAAATTTGTGAAGACGAGTGTAAACAACAGCCTGTTTAATTTTATTTATTCATCATACTAATGTTATGTTTACCACTATTTTTCATTAAAAAAATGGGTGCTATGCTTCTTAACATAAATTAAAAATATACTGTGACATTTGTGTAAGAATGGTAATTTCTTTAAACCTCTCTCAAAGACACTCTAAAGTAAATAATAAAATTGAAAGAAGCGAAATTCTTAAAGAAGCCAATTTTAGCAACATATTATGCCAAAAGTTATGTCTCAATCTTCGTATAAAAGAAGATTGTGTCTCTTTTCGGTTACAAGCGGTTTAGAATACATACTTAATACTTATTCGTTTCGCACATTTAACTTCCTGTAAAATTCCGTTACAAGGTACCTTTACCTGTGAATCGCCACATTTTGGTTGTCGGCTGTCGGCACGCACCTCAAATACTTCTCTTTTTTTTGTAAATCAAGGTTCAAAAACATCTAGGACTTGTAACCGTCGAAAGTCAATTTTAATATTGCAGCAGTGAAAGATTGAATTTTGATACGTTCCACGGCCGCCACCGCTGCGGTCCATTCAACGCCGGCCGACCGTGTTGCACAATGCACTCTGCATAGGAATATGGTAGGCAAAATTGGAAAAACTTTTGTATAGAAAGATGTGTAGATTTTTCCATGTTTTGGGTGTATTTGTTTGTTCGCGAAAATATTCAATAATAAGTAAGTTAGTTCATTAATTTAACGACGTCAAGGTGTAGCTAAGACAGGTGACGCAAAAGTTATTACCTAGTTCAAGGGAGCAATTAAAAAAAAATACAGAATTTACGGCCTTGATTTTTTTTAAATTTGGTTACATAGGTACATCATACAGTTTTTTCCATGAAGTTTTGAACACGATCTCGGCAAGATGGCTGCCTTCAGCCTTGATGTCGTCGGTTTCAAAAGTTTGTTATTATGTTGATGATGATTGGGGTAAAAATAAAGACCGTAAGTTGTGTAGTTTTTTTTTTCAATTGCTTCCCCGAACTCGGGCTTCCTTTTGCCCCACTATGTATATTTAACGATCGCTATGTTGATTGCCATAATCAAGGAACACACAAACACTGAACGGAAATGTAAATGAAGGATGACATTTTTATCCATAAATTTACTACATAACTTATCTTTTAAATAAAGGTAATGTTATAATCAGTTTAGATGTAAATTTATGAATAAAAGTTTATATGAAAATTGGACTTTTGATTGGAGTTGTAATAACTATAACAATATCTCGCCTTTAAAGGGGTAAGATTGTGCGACAACCAACTTTATATTGTAGATATTAAATGTAAATTTCAGATAAAGGCGATTTTTCCCACTCACGATTCTAGATTACACCCACTGGGCGACTCGCCACAGGCTCTGCTGAAATCATAAAGGCGAAAGATCAAACGGCGGTCTTTGGGCCGATAACGAAATGATACTCTTTGCTGCATGACGGAGTTGAGGGTTTTGCAAATTAGAGTTCAGTTTGATCTTCTGTTTTCGTGCATTTGTAAGTGCGTTTAAGCAAATCTAGTATCGGCGACAGTCAATATTGAAGATACGATAATAAGGCCTTTATGTCAATAAAAAAACAAATCAATTTCAATCGCACAGCTTGTCTTTGTAACTAAGACAAAGCAAATTTATTGGGATGACCTCTATAATAGTCTGTGGTACCTACCTACTTTACTTACCTTATTGGATACGTACGTCGACCGTAAAAGTACCTATTAAATTATTCTTTAGAAAATTTGAAACGCGATTTGAGACCCTTTTCTTTACTTATGATAAATCTTATTGTTACAGGTTCGTGTAACAAGATTTCTGGGTAAGTTGTTGCGCATACCTCATATTCTGCCCTCGGAATGAAAAAAGGCACAACTGCATGCTGTATAAAGTACGCATAGTTGTGCCTTTTTTCGTTACGAAGGCAGTATTGTTATTGCTTCCTACATTATATAGGATCACATTTCAGCTTTGTTTTCTGAACAAGTAAAAAAAAATCGTCAAATATTTCCCCTTCTATAGTAGTAATCTAAATTTTTATTCTTAATATTTAATTATTTTTGTGCTATGATTTATCATTAGTACGATCATTGCGGGAAGTTTACACCATTTTGTTATGCCGTGTATGTTAAGTAACTTGAGACAGTGCAGAATAAGAAACGTTTGGTGAATACTACTTGGAGAATAAATGCAGAAAAATGGGCGATGTTAATCTCAGGTCACACACTGGTGCCCAAGCTCGTCACAAAGGCAAGGCCATCACCATGTCAAGTTCGCTGCCACCACGTACATATTTCGCTAAAGCGCCGCTACAGTAACAATAATGGCTCAGTCCCTATTGTTTGGGCCCGTGGCACATTACGCTTTTGTCTCTGCCCTCCTCCGCTCCTCACAATGCGGCCAGGAAACAAGTGAGCCTTTATTTCGCCTCTTTTTGTCTCGGAGTATCGCTGCTTATTGTCTTCATTCGATTGTTCGGAGCTCTTCAGAGGGCACATTGTTGTGGACTCCAGTTATTGCTGAGCTGACGGATGCGCGTGTTCTAGTGTCGTTTGAATTTTAATAAAGAACTACAGCGAGCTCTTTTTCATAACAGGTTCCGCTTTGGCTGTTAACGTTTTATACATAGGTCTTTAAATGTATTTTAGACCAGACTAAGAAGCAAAAAGTATTTCGTCAGTATAATTCATCAATGATTTTCAAGTAGATGAATATATACCTATCAATTGATATGAGACTGTTGGTAAATAAAAAAAAGATTCTTTAAGGGCCGCGTAGGTTAAGGAAATTAGATGGAAAACGGAGTGATCAGAGTTAAGGATGCAACTAGTTTGAAATAAAAAAAATACTATTTTTTATAAATAGTAATATCGGTTCGGACGGAATAGCTCCGTGGCTGTCATAAGATGCTTACCTAATAACTAATAACGAAATAAAGGTCTTTTTGGACACATAGCAGAACTTGTATTTTGAATATCAACCCAAAACCATCCACAATTTAACGACTAGAAGTCTTACAAAACCCATACAAGTTCCGCTATTGTCAGCATGCAACTTTGTTTGCAGTCCCCTTTCAGTTTACATTTACTCCTTCAACAATGCGTGTGTTGAGTCCAAATTGCACTACGTTCAATTTAAGCAAATAATGGTATATTTTAGCTTAAATAACAGCTAAAATATACCATTATTTGCTTAAACTTAGCAATAATAACCTGTGTATTTTGTGCCGCCTGCGAATACTTTATTTTTTTATTTTAGATTCAACAAAAAAAAAAGTTGAGTCCGCTGTTGCTGCTACCCAATGGACATTCGAAAAATGTTTTGTGAATAAAATTTTTATTTCAGGTAAAAATTGTTTAGTATCATAGACTATCATAAATCAAAGAATCATAAACCCTTTTGTAATAGGCACCTGTGTCCAGAATTTATCGGATCACAGCTTAAATTGTAGCATTCGTCAGCAGTAATTCTTTAAAAGCCTTTTATTTTAGGAAGATTTCTGCTTATTATAGGGTAGGTATATAAAGCACAGCAAATTGAAAATCTTACATTCTAATAGAAGTGGTCAAATGCATGCCACAAGAACAAGAAGGGACTGAAGTCTATTTCTATTTTATTGTAGGTAGTAGGTAAGTACTATTTGTACTGTCTCTTTCAAAGTGCATGTGTTTGACCCTATCGATCTCCTTTATCTGCAATGATACAAGCTGCATCTCCTCTAGTTAGCATTGTTCGCGCGGGCCCATTGTATGGTTGGCTTTGTTCCGGCACGCCCCGCTTTTTCCTTTTCGCTTTCGAAGCGATGTTGCGCCTGAAACTGAGAACTTGCCCTACAAGAGACGCTAGAGTTTGTCAGTGTTTTAGTGAATACTAAATATCTTATAATATAAAGTGTTAGTTACTTAGAACAATAGGTAAACCACTTATTAAATAGTACATAATCTATTATATTATTGACAAGGAAAATCGTGGTAAAGTACATTTGAGTAAATTTATCAGTCAAGAGAAAAATAATCAAAAAATCTTTGCTTACAAACCACATGCACGCGGAATGCAAAAGCAAATGCTAAATATTCTTCAGGCATCGCCGGCCTTTTGAAAATGTCCCTTTCGCCGGGCGGCAGCCGCATTCATATTTCCCGCGTTTTCCATACACAATATTGCGACTTTGTGAGCCGGCGCGCTTCTCAAGTCTCCAAATAGTCCATTGACGAGCGCCGAGCAAACTCGCTATAGCGAATTAACACTATTCATGGGAAGTTTTCAAAGAGGACTACTCTCATACAATTTGGTGGCATTCATAAAGATTCACTCCTTAGCTAGCTCGATGAATAGCTTTATGAATAACGTCCCATTTTAGATGGAGCGTGGATGTATTCCTAGTTATTGAAGATTTGATTTCATAGATACCTACCTATCTACTGCTATTGAATTTTGTTAGCTATATTTGTATTTTAAAATATAACTGGCATGATCTTTTAGTGGTTAGATATCCCAAACTACTGATATTGAAAACCAGATTGATGCTTTTGCAGTTCTTATTCTGGCATTTAAGAATTCTTGCTAAAAGTGGAGTAACTGAGCGACCTTACTTACAACTTCAACATCAAGTAGCACTTTGTTTACAGTGCCAAATTATAGCGCCGCTAGCCCTCGGCTAGATGAGGCAAGAACAATTACCGAACAACAATAGTGCTGGCTGGCTGGCTATCGTAGAAACAGTTGTTGCAGGCGCCAGGCGCCACTGAAAGAACGCGCGCGCGCGCGCGCGCGGAACAAAGGCCCGCCCAATTGTGTTACTAGCGCTTTGTCTCCTCGCGAATAGGGAAATGAGTTGAATGGGAAATTCAAATAATTTTTGACATAATCTTCTTCAGGTTTTGATTAGTGAATGGTTTTCTTTAGGTTGTGAGGTCATGAAAGTATTTGCATACACACAAAACAACAGCGCTTACAAGCGATCAAAAAAATTGGAACATCTTTAATTTCTGTCCGAATTCTTTAATTAAATATTGTTCAATGTAGCAGAAAATTTCTAGGGAGTGGAATACTCGAAGCAATTTTAGACTTTTTTTAGACATGGTTGATAGTACATACCTTTGTACTTTTTACAAAAGCGCATTAAAGAATAATCAATTTGACAAGCTTTGGCATTCCTTTCACCTAAGTAAGATTCATGAAACCCACCCGTAATAACAAATCATAGTCAGAGGACCTTTCAGCCATCTTGCAGGCCTTTGAATGGTGTTAATTTACTGCTGAATTGGCACAACTCCCGAGTGTGAGCCCTCAATGGGAGATTCGGTCGACACAAGCGCGAAATTCTATATGGAAAATGTGGAAAATATAAATAGAGGCTGGAAAAGCGACTCTAAAGGAGGGTGATTTTGTAAAGGCTTCAGCTGTTTTCAATGGCTCACTGTTTAACATTGCTCGTTGAGCAATATTTTCACTTCCCTTTTCAATGTAAGAGACTGGTACCTATATTAGAAAAGGACATGGGATCTTTAAAAACATCTCCTCGATGAAGAAACTTGTTTGTTTTAACATTTGAAAGAAAAAGGAATCCTTTTAAGAAGTTTCGAAGAAAAGGGTAATGGACACAAAAACAGAACAAGTATTGAATTTTCTCCGCTATTGTAAGGATTTTGAGCGAAATTTTATATAAGTGGTATAATGCTTAATATAATAACTTTATAAAATGTTTTCTACGATTAAGTTTTTTTTTATTATTTCTCTTGGCTTTTAGTCTTTTACTTTGTGTACTTTTTGAAGTCGTTGGAAAACATTTTCTATCATAGAATTTTTCACTTTGACACGGTTGTCAAAATTTGTACCAAAATGTACGAAGTATTGTGTGTTTATAATTCGCATTTATTATATCACAAAAGTATTAATTATATTCTTAAGATATACTACGTGCTCAAAGTACTCAATTCAATAAGAATGTTGTCTTTTTTAGTTGCGCCACTGGAATCATTTGACCTGATGGTAAAATAGAAAGATACCAACATGCCTTATTTTTCTAAGAAATCTTTCAAAAAGAGTCGCTCAGATAGTCCACCGCCGAGCGATAAAGTTTCCATGGAACCTGGACGAAAGAAATGGAACTATCAATTTTGTGTGAAAATCATGGTTTTCTCAGTCATAATTATTTCCCAAGTTTGCCTCTTTGTGTATGTATTTGCGACGGGGGATAATGAAATATTTAAATTTGATGACAGTAAATTGAAAAACAATATATTGTCCATTTGAATAAAATCGATTCAAATACTATTCGCAAATATTTTGCGTAATTATTTAGGTAATTGCTCTTTTTAAAATACAACTGTTTGACTATGTAGCCAGTGTTGTGCTTTTTCTATCTTACTTAAAGTATGCCATTTTTAAAATTTTATCATAAATGTTTATTTATAGTTTCTAAAAAAAACACTGTGCTGTATAGCGGCGCTTACAAAGTCGTGAGCGACGACATCTCACAAGTCTTTGATCATGAGTCATTCTAGAAGGATTCCATTTTTCCTATTAAAATGTGTAATAGGTAGATACCACATTACGAGATAAAATGTGTAAATAATTCGAGCTAGTAGCTATTTTCAGTATTAAATTTCCTAAGCTTAAACAATGTTTGATCGATTAAAAATTATAGGGAAATTTTTAAACTACTAAAGTCATTTTCAAAAGTCCTTTGCTGCGATGATTACAATATTTTTGTATTCAATCCCTATAAGAATAAAAATGCGAGGTGACCCCGAATTAGTATCCGGGTGTGTAATCATCATTGGTGTATTCGAGAGTGAAGGATAATAGTGACCATGAGTCATTAAGTGTGCACAGGCGATAATTTTGTGAATATAAGAACCTTTAGAGAATATTAAAAACCTTTAAACTGATAATGAACGCACGTTAGTATAAAACAAAATTGTATAGTCCAAGCTGTAAAGGACACTAAAGCCTCTCTACGAATGTCATATTAAATGTATCGTAGTGCTTAACGTAAAAATTTTGCATATTTGTAGTTTTATTTTTAAAAGTTATAGATGTCGTTTTACTCATTAGGTAACGTACTTTCTATATCAGTTTAAAGGGTTTTGATATCTTTTCAGAACAATCGCCTGGTTACACTTAACCAATACACCCTGTATATAGAGATGAAGACTACGATACGTATTTTATTAAAACAAGGTATTTCGAAGCACTGATTTTTTATAGACTAAGCATCAAGCATCGTATTAAGCGTTCCGTAGTATAAGTTTAAAGGGAAGACGGTTAATGAGAATGTGTGTAGCCAAAAAGCTCGATGTGGGTATGTATGATGAATGTCAATACCTTGAAAGGATGCAAACGCCTCCACTGTTTCCATTTTCATTCCTTTTAACGTTTTGCCTTGACGTGCATCATTCCTTAATCGTTTCCGCGTTCATGAATTTTCGAGATCATTCCATTTTGGTAAGATATCTAATGATATTTAGGCTTATTTTATTGGAACTCACATACTGAGTTTGACATGGTTGATTTTATATGTAGGTTTTATTCTGTGGTGTTAATTGACTAGGTTTGTATAAATTTTGCAGACGAAATCTTGGACATAATATACTTATTTGAGGCAGTAAGGGATTTAGACATTCGATCTAGGCGATAGATTGTGGAAGAAAATAGGTACTTAAATTAGGAATCGTTTTTGATACCGCAACAAAACCCCTAACGAAACATTTTAAAGGTTTTTTTAATACTGGCAGATGGTGCCTAGTAAGACCGACTGCCTGGTCTTAAACTAGGAAATATCTACCCTACAGATATATGAGTACCTAAAACACCTACACAGATATTATAAATAATATTTGCTCCCTTGAAGGGAATATATAATATAATCAGAATCTAAAAAAAAAGAGCAGAACGCTCATTATTTTTAGATTCTGATTCTATCATATACCAGGCGCAGGTTAAGCTTTACAGAGTGTCATTATTGTATTTAGTGCCTTTAACATGAGTTTAGTGTGGCAGTTGTCACAAATGACTGCTTAAATATTTCGTCTAATGTGGCAAGCTGTATCTACAGCGCGTATCTGTTCGGAATCAAAGAGTATACAAAACATGAAAAGTCGGTCCGACTTCGGATGTCGCTTGTGCACTGTGTTCGTTCCGCATCCGAGAAAATATGGATATCGCTTGTACACCTAGAGATTCAGAATTCTGGACATACCGGTGCTGTGTAGCATGCAACGTTTAAGTCGTTCGGTAGCTTATTTTTAAATAAAAATGTAAGTGCACATTTGACCTCCATCTCGCCTGATGGAAAGTGACGATGAAATCGACGATGGAGCATACACACCTAAATAATGCCTATTCACTCTGGCCTTGAAAGTCCAAGTTATAACGTTCAGGGTACGATTCGATAGCCGTTCGCCGTATAAATGTGGAAGCGTAACGCGAATCTTTGGAATAAAACTATGCGTCCTGTCAATCACCGTCATTTTTTGGGATTGCTATTGTACCTACATTCGAAGACGCAGGAGAAATGAATACTGCTGGGTAAACCTTCTGATGAACTGACAATTGCAAGAAATTTTATATTGATTACCGAATGAGTGTGTCTACTTTGTATTTAATTTTACATGTGTATCGACGCTTTCCTCCAGCAACCCGTCGTTTCAGGGGGTCTACTCTCGATCTCCGTCCGAAACAATTGCTGCCAAATAAGCAACACTTGACCAAATGAAAAGACGCGTGATGCGAATGAAGCTTCATACTTGATACTTGTCTTTTAATTTTGTCGAATATTACTTATTTGACAGTAATTGTTTCGGACGGATGTCGGACGGTCAAGAGTAGACCCCCAGATTCGGATCGGACGCAGTGCGTAATCGTTAGTATATCTAATACTGTAGTTACTTCGGTCCGAGAAAATAATGATCCGAATTGAAGGTGTTCCCAATTTCAATAGTCGGAATTCGGATTTAGTAAGCAATCCCTCACTTAAAAAGTGTTATGAGTACTTCAGACAGCTATTTCTCTGATTTAGAACTAACACAGGTCGCACTTAAGTCATGTTTTCGTTGTATATTTCATTTATTATTCCTATTTAGTAATGTTTTGCTTCTAAATCGTTGATATCTTTTGGTGGTAAAAGGGTGAGCTCGGGAACATATTAGTGTTTTTGTATAACAACAATTAGTCGATTTTCGGCACTGTGATCACAATAAGGTTGATTAGCCTGAGCTGTATTGAGCTTTCGCTACCGTCATAAAGCCGATATTACATTTGGGGTGCTTCTACGTATTAAAATAATCTTTATCGACATAAATACATAGACGTGTACATGTAGGCATGCTTTTTATAACTCTGTACATCTGCTAATTCAACAATAACATCGGATCTAAATCGGCAGAGTCAGCCGTGACCATAGGACCAGAGGCCAAAACGTTGACCGTTGTTAAAAAACAAAATAATGTAGGTACAGTCAAGTGCACGTCAAGCTTGACACTTTGTACTTTGGACCGTTCTTATCGTAAGCGGCATAGAATTGGATTAAAATCTTAACTCTCAAGCTTGACGTGCTCTTGACCCTGTACCTACGTGATTTAGATGTGAAAGAATAGATAGTAACATTTAGAATGTGTAACAATTGTGAAAACCAAAGAACTCAATAATAAAAATATCAAACAATGGCATCAAAATCGAGTCTTTATTTTAAAGTGTAGAACAGCGGTTGGTGGAATTCGTAATTTCTTTGATTCCCGTCCATTGTGCGACTGATAAAAGCGACACTTTCAGACGGGAGCGACTGAATGAACACCATTATGCCGACACAAAAGTGGATATTCCAAACAAAAACATCATTGCCGCAGTTATTATTACGCCGCGTAAAAAACAATTCAGACTATATTCCATTATGATTCCAAACAATGTAGTTGCTGAAAATGTATTTTGTCGCAAATAATGTCAGGATCGATGGTGAGTGGCTGGCCATTGTTCGTGATTCAGTCGAATTGTTGACAACAGAAATACTTATCTGTGCATAGTCATAAAATTTTTTGTCGACAATCAGGACTAGCGAAATAATCAAATTTATACAAGTATTTACTTATAATCTTGTTAAGTTTCTGTCATCATCATCATCATCATGTAGTGCCTCTCCACTACTGGAGGCTGGCCGTCAGCTTGGAGAACTCTTCCCTGTCCTGAGCCAAGCGAAACAGATGTTCTACGCTGGCAATATTCGTCCATTCCCGGATGTTGCGCAACCACGACTTCTTCCTTCTTCCAGTACGTCGTTTACCCTCGATCTAAGTTTCTGTAAAAAAACGATAATTTTAACATTTTTGTAAAAATAACACATTACATATTCTTGTTGTGGCAACTTTAACTCAGATTGGAGGTAATTTTGGCCAGTGTCGAGTTTAATTATTGATTTAAAGTTTATTGAGTGAGATTTGACTTTGCAAGGATTTTAAATAATGTTTGATTGTGAACTATTAAGTAGAATAATGAATGCAAGGAAGCGGAGATTTGTTTAAAGAAACATGAATAACTTCGAGCATTTCCAGGAACACAGGATGTCTCGTCGAGGGGCCATTGTTTGAAACACAAATTTACAGGTCAAAGTGACGTTAAAGGTTTTTTGAAAATCTTTCCCATATTATGGCAGATGATTAATTATTTCGATATAACGTACCTATTAGTTAGATAAAATTTATTCGTAAGCATTTAATAACTTAAATATTGGCAAATGATAATTCCTATAACTACTTGGGTACATAATTATAATTTATTACAGAAACAAGGGCTTTCTGTCCTTTCATGTTACGAATACCGCTTGAATTGAATGCCATCTATTAGTGTTGGATGTTAACTTAACCTAACGTTATGCGCAAGGAAACTGTACGCAACGCAACTCTCCAGTTGCTTTTAATATTCATCGTAAGATGGCGCTGTTCGTAAAAGTTTCATGTTTTGAGCTTAGTCTAAAGATTGCAATACCTTCGATTTGTATAATAATGTTGCCATGATTTACCAATAAACAATTCTAGTTATCAGCATCCACCTTAGAGGATGGAAAGACATCCACAGATATATATCACATTTCCGATCATTGGGCATCACAAATAATAAAAATGCACAATATTCTTCTTGATAGTGTTTGGATTCGCATAAATTCTATGCATTGTTTGTGACTATAGGTATTGATATAAATTCGTTCAGGTTTATTTTTCAAAAGTATTTCTAATTAGTTTTATTTTATTTCATATATGTAATAAAAAGTGTGTACTCATCTATAAGTTAGAGAAAATGTTAACAGCATTTGTTAAAATATAATTGATAATGTAAGAACTATAGATTTAGTATATAGGTAACAACGTTGAATGATTTACTAATCTGCTATATAATGCGATTAGTTAACTACATTATGACAAATCGTTGGTATGATTATTAAACTGCTTCGACGTCCATCTAATTATCGTGTTTTTGGCAACTTGCCCACAATGGAATGTTTACGCCACAAAAACGTGACTAACTTTATTATTTAACGACGAATGTCGGATAAAATTGTTATGCATGTTAGACAAAAAAGAACATTCCAATTTTAGTTTTCAAAAATAGTTTCAGTGATGATATATTTAGGCTCTTCTTTCCTTGCTACGTATGCATCAGAAGTTTTGGATTTTTAGGAAAAGTAAATATGGACACAACCGGCAAAAGGATGTCAATGAAAGACTGTGTTACATATAAAAATATTTTATTAAAAACATTTTGGTAACATTTAATAAGAACACTTAGGTAAAAATAAATCGACCTCAAAATTATTTCAAAAGGACAGCCTGGACTGGAAGTTCACGGAGATAGCCGGAACAGCAAAAACTAAAATAAATAAAAACAATGATAACACTCTAGGCAGAGACATGTCTAATTGACAACCAGAATTAAGGCATCGCAAGAATAATTATTTAAGTACGATAAAATACCTACGTCTATTATTATAATTACAACAAATAATCGCCTAATGTCTATAGAACATTTTGTGTATGCGGCGGGCGGCGGGCGCCTTCGGTGGGCTGGCGCAGGCGGCCGCACTTGCGACCCTGTATTAGTCTCTTGGCAGGGGACTTACATCGAGTATTATTGCCACTAACATTATTCATTTTACTCATGAGACAGAGTTGCTTGCCACTATATTGTAATTATACACTACTAAATACTAAAACATCCCAATTATACGAAGCTATGTTAAAATTTTACCTAACTAATAATATTAACATCTTCGGCTAATTTTGATACTAGAATGATATAACATCATCTCATATTGTACTCTTAACATTACGCTGAATTAAATTAAAGAGAGGAATAAAACTGTTACACATATAATATTGCAAGCATTACTGAGATTGTGCACGTTACGTGAATAAATTAAAGTAACAATGGAAAACTAAGTGTTAAACAGGATTGCTTATACTGAAGTCGATGAGGAGTAAGTAGGGCAAGAGCACGCCTCCGGATCTACCGAGTCGAGCTCTTACGTACAGCTACAATAAAGGAACAGTCATAAAGATTAAATTACGAGCATTGGCACTTCAATATTAAATCTTAATTATACACTCTCGAAATAGCACTGCATATTAATAACCAACTTAAAAACTAAATTCAGATCAGTCATTTATGATATCACATCAAAATAAACAGGGAAATACATAATATGTGATTTTCGATTGGATATACTATATCATATATATTATAATTCTTTTTAAAAGAGGTATTAATTTTCTTAAGGGTTACTAAAAATATTGAGCGTTGCGTCGCGTGTGACGCACTATATCACCATATTACGAGAACAACTTGAACCAATAAGTTTTGGTACTTGGAGTTTATCTCCGAGTTAGTCTATTTCGCTAAACCTACATAATGCTTATCAGATATACGTAATACACACTGGACGCGCGCCTACACTGGAACGCGAGCCGCCACGCAACTGTTGTTATGGCCTGCGCCGCGGGAGCGCCAGCTTATTGCGCGGCAGCCGCTATGGTTCCCATGCTAGGACACTGCGACTAGGCAAAAACCCTCATCCCTATACAATTTTCATTACAAAAATACTGTCATTTGACTACAGTTCGATGACAAAAAAATATTTATTATAAATATGAATGAACAATAGATATAATACAACATATTATAATATCATGTATATGATTTGACTAAACAAAATAAAATGCATAAAATTGAAATGATTTAAACATTGTAAAATCACGTGAAGACACTTATTAATGGAAGGTACTAAATTGATATTTTAGAATTTTTTGTTAAATAAATAGCACAACAACCAAAGTATTTGGCAATGTGGATTTAAATAAATATTTAACAACTACTACCCTTGGCTGCTAACTTAAACACAAAACTGGAATGCAAATATTGCATCGCACCTCGGCCTCGGTTGATTCGGATCGGGCACTGAGGGCCCGTTCCGTTCTTGTACTGGCGCACGGGCCGCTCACAGGGGCCAACAGGGAATCACTAAATTAGAAGACATTCGTAATAAGAGCTAGTTTACAACTGTGCGTTTCGCTCCAAATACTTTCTTTGAACTACATTCGATTGCAGCAATGTCATAAATTACCTTAACAAACTAAAAATAACCTGAATGCAACATTTGATTTTAAATAACCAATAACAACCATTTGTGAGTATGTGTGACTGAGGATATAGCACACTTTTTTAGGCTTTAGAAGAGGCCTCTATCGATTTTTTTTAATATTCATGCTTTGTTTAAAGGTTCCTAGAGATATCTGCATGTAATAAAGAATAACTGTTAGCTGCATTCTGAGATCCATGCTATATGTTCAGTCATGACTCATGATCCACTGAATCGTAAAATGAAATACATAAATAAGATTTCTGTAAAAATTTCCCTATTCAATTACGATTTGTGTTCATAGCCTAGTACATTGATTACAGAGAAAACAAAAAAATCTTGTGGTGGTGACTACGATAAAGCGGTTGATAAAATGCAATGTAATTTTAGATCATGACGTAAACGTCGTTGGAGTGCGTTCTGCTATTGACAAAGAATATGCGAGAAATAAACGGATGGGTGTTGGTCCCTTCCAAAAAATTGCCAAACATTTTGAAGTTTCCGATATGAATAAAATTTGGAAAACTACCTTCTGTATTGTCTCATATCAACATTTTTTTATAAAAAATAAGTTTGTGGGAAATATGTTTAACATTATTGTATACAAATACTCCAGTTAGAATTTAAAGCTGATCACAACATAGCAGAACTAAAGTTGCACTAAAGGACAGTATCAATTTTCTAAAGTTAGTGTTTATATGTTACTTACATGTAGTTGAAGAGACTCACACTATTAAATATTTTGACTAAATTAAGAGACCACGAATTACACTTTATGTATGCACACACAGATATTGCCAGTCTGTTAACGACACTTACTATAATTTCACTAGAACCCAGTATCTGGGCATATCAATGACTCAAACGTTTTAAAACGGTCTGTAACAACTACTAATACCTTAGAATATCTAATCACTGCATTAATTTGTGATGATATGCACTGATAACCCATTATGACTATGTTTTGTATGGGTTTGTATATTTATTTAATGAGTTGTTCATGGTTTATAATCGGATAGGAGTTACATTTTTGGGCAACATGTCAAGATTGTATCCTCTAGTTCATATTTTATGTCATCACTATTATTATGTAATGCTCGGACGGTACATCCAACAATTATCATAATTAGACCTTAAAATTAACCTACACAGCTTGGCTTTAAATTCGTGCCTATCTCGTCAAAACCGTAAATTTAAATAACATCCGAGAAGCAGCCTTTTGGTTTAAACAATGACGATCCTTTTGGTAAATGACTGTGGAATATAGTTGTCTAAATTATTGCTACAGACTAAAGAATATTACAAAACAATATTTAAATATTAAGTATTACAAAGTAATGGTGGGTAGTATTAACATATTAAGATATATGTCCATATTTTATAAAAATGGTTTCCTTTTAAAAATTCTGACGGCTGAAATGGTTCAACCAATAGTATTTTATCCTAATTAGTATAAATTGCTTGATTAACAAATTATGTTCATTATATGCACATTAAACGAATAAGATTCTTTGGATAACAAGTTAACATTTCTAAGAGGAACTAAGAACAGTGCAATAAATTACTATGTATTTATGGTTTCTATTGGTTGCCTAATCATGAAATGGCATTGTAATGGGATTTTTGGTTCCTATCAATTTAATATAGGAGCTTCAAATGCTGATTTGGAATATTCTGCTTTGTATGGCATTGCAAGTACGTAATAATTAACCCTAACGTTATCACACAAAATAAGTTAATAACATAAAATCAAAGCAATGCATCGTCACATATTACATTCACAGAATTTGTCAACAATTGCTTTGTTTAAATTAAGATCACAGTATTAAGTCACGATTAAAATGTAACTCTACGAATGCGCGAGACGATAGCTTCATGCATATTCCACAGTCATCCGTAAGATAGGGCCACACCAAGGAGCATTAAAAAACACTACATATCGGAATATGTCACACAGCCAGTGGTTTGAGATCTAAGAAGGAAGTTCATTAATTTGCTCATAATAAATTCATTAAATTCAAATGGCCACATAAACACCATTCTTGATTTGTTAAAGATAAAATACTTCCTGAATGAGAATTCAAAAACATAAATTGATATGAGAATAATAAACGCTAAAGCAAGTAAAAATTGTTCAACTATACCTAGTCCCTGAGATTTTCACAGAAAATGACAGGTCTTTATAACAAAAGTGTGACCTAAAATCACTGGCATGTTTTCAAATAATGACAGTTGTGTGATCCTACCACCAGGTGACAGTTGAAGTAAGAGCACTCAATATGCACCCTGATGTGTCCCAGTCATACCCTTTCAATATTTGTTTGTTCTGAGTTTATGCTGACACATTGTCTCGTCACTCAGTGGCAGCAACAACCCATGCGAAGCCGCAGAGGCGGCAAGTGTCCTTTACGTACTGTGTGCGAGTTCCATACGGCCCCAGCCGGTGATATTGGGAGCGATTAGCAAAGAACAGCGCCGGGTTGTTCGGGGGCAGCACCGTAGCGCGGTAGTTCCATCGAGGATCAGTGAGATTAGCCATTAAGTTGAGGATGTCGCGTCCTCCGTAAGTAATCTTTATATCGTCGAATGTCTTTTCCTTTGGACGTGGTTGAGGCTGCACAACATCCTCAAAGACTTTCTGAAAGATCGAATTTATTTTTGGAATGAACCTTCAAATCTAATCAGATTATAAACAACACAGACAAGTGTGCAACATCAATAAAATACTATTAAACAATTGTTATCTATATTTGTTTTGCTTTTCATATTGTGGAAAGGATAATCATCACGTTTTTAATCAACCAGTTTGTTTGTTGTCAAATCCGCTTGATTACAGTTTACGTTTTATTTGCTAATAATATCGATTCCACACGTTGAACAAGTTAAATGTGCGGCAATCATGACATAACAATCAAAATTTTTCCATTAACACGCAATAATATTGTTCACAACAGTGATACCGTAAGACATACGCCATTACGGAATATTATGAAAATAGCGAGGTCAAGGCCAGGACGAACGCAAACAAAATAGTGCGAAATTAACGAAATATTCACTCACCTTCTCTGTTGTTTGAGGACTTGACGGGAGGGAGTCATTGTTCACCGACTCCGACTTAAGCGATCCCAGAGACCCGATACCGCTAGACTCACTGGAGACAGACGGACTCGGGCTCGTCTGCGACTGCGAAAGCCCCGCTATATCTATGATATGCCCGAAGGAGCTGAATGAGTTAAAACTCTCTGTCTCCAGCCCCGCTAAAGGTAGAGCAACGCTCAAAGCCATGTCTGCAAACGAAAAATCACTATTGTATTGCAATTACACGTGCATTATAACGCCACTCGGTATGGACACTTTATTAGCTATGTTGACAGAATCCAACGCGCCAATTTTCTGATGAATTACTGTTAATAATACTGTCACTTGAGCTTGTCACTCTATCATGACTCCAAAGTATTTTAGAAATTACAAAATCACACTGTTTGCTAGGATAAAAACAACATTTACCGAAAGCGTTATCCCAAAAAGTACAAGCCTCGACGTAGTTGAATGAGATCGAACATTTATGATGTGAAGTTAGCTTCACTCTGCCATTTTGCCTGTGTGATGTCGGCAAGCGGTAACCGGAAGATGCCATGTCGGTAAAACAGTCTATTACGCAGCAAATACGAAAAGGTCAAATACGGTTTATTATTTTTTATCAATTCCCGTAAAAGAATTTTAAATTCGTGGCATAATTATTAAACATATTTATGGTTGACATTAAAGAGCAATGAATTTGTACATTGCAAATAATAACGTTCGATTCTTCCTAAATAGCGCCACCTAGGTTGCTTTGTTGGTACTTTAATAGAAGAAAATATGAGAAAATGGCGGTCTTACACTGGACTGCATTTTGGAGAAATGTTTCCGATAGTTGCCGCTAGGTGGCACTGACTTGGCTGTTTCATAAGAGTACCATGCATGTCGTGCAGGTGGCGTTTGCGATCATATATATATTCACCATTATACCTATTGTAGAATAATAAATAAACAGAGATGAATAAATATATTGGCGCGGTAAACGAACAATTTTGTAGACATTCTATGAAATTCATTAAAACAATGGTAGTTAGTTGACAGAGTAAAAAATAACGATACCTCAAACCTCTACTATAAAATAATAATGCAACTTTCAAAAACCGTTCAATATACCGTCACAATGAAGATGACATGCTCCTTAAAAATCAGTGACTTTGTGTACTTAGCTATATGACACTCTTTTTTAAATTTGTAAATGAATTTGAAAATTACATTGACGGTTATTAAAGTAACATTTAAATTTGTACAAAAAAAACAATAAAAGCACTCCATTGCTTCACTTGTAAGGTGTATAAGAAATATTATAGTTATTTTTGGCTATTTCGACCGTTTCCATTCCGTCACACTATTTTGATGGTGGCTATACGTAGACACTTAGAATAATAACGCATAGAAACCTAGTCCGCACACGCTAAGTGAGACAAATTGAAGCGCGCCCAATGGGCCTACACGAGCGGGCGGGCCTTCAGTGCTCAAGGTCAACTTGCACCGTGAACAGATCAAGAATTTTAGCTAAAAATACGAAATGTGCGGTAAATGAGTGTAAAAATACGTCAGACAAACATAAAATAGATACTAACATCACATTCCACAAGGAAGTAACGCGTTTCAACTTGTATTTTTATATAAATATTCACTAAAACCGAAAATTAGCCTACTACTAAAACTATGTAGCTTACATGAATTAGATTTTTGCCTCACTTGTGACAGTTCGTTTGATATGAAACTGTCATTCTATGCACCCGGACACTGGCAGAATTGTCTTCAGTGGGACAGAAGCCAAATACTATGTAAAAATCATTCTATGCGTTATTATTCTAAGCGTAGACGCCTACACATAAATGTCCACATCCCCTGTAGTAGGTACTTCAGAGGTTCGAACCAATTTATGCATATTTCGAAAAAAAAAAACTACCTGTGTACTCGTATTAGGTATCTATTTATGTCTGTAATTCAAGTGACTAATTTTTCATTTAACACTTGTACAGTTGTTATGTGATTAGAAAATACATTTTATATTCCGTTTCATGATTTGCTCTGATATACATAGGTATGCATATCACGATGTAACGAGATATAGATATAGGCATTAAAATAATTAAAACATTGATTTAGAAAAGTATAGTTATGTATATTACGAATTAATTTTCATAGTACCTACCTAACGTTCACATTCGTAAGTGCTGCGTAAGTCAGTGTCAGTCATCGACAATATTTTAGGAATTCATTTTGCGAATGACACGTTTATTTGTCAATGTTTTTTTTGTTTCAATTTTGAATAAGGAATTTATCTACAGATAGTTTCTGTAAAGTATGTTGGTAGCTCTTGTTAACTGTTTTTTTTTCTTATTTCTTGACACTATACAATGGTCTTAAATACAAATGGGTGTGCGTATTAATTACACTTAATTTTAAAAAAAACGGTGCACATTGGTAAATATAGAGAGAGAAAAAAAACAATGAAAAAAAAAACATGAAAAGAAATCGCTTTTTTTCTGGAGTACGTTTTTTTTCTAAAAGTATGACAATATGACAATTGTATTTTTTTACAACTTTTCCTCTTTTGTTGTATTATTATTATTTATTATTGTAATATTATTCTTCATAGATAAATTGCTTGAAATAAATGGGCAACACTCTCAGGGTCGTATTCTAGAACTCTACTCAATGCTCAAGTCAGGATTGCAATGGAAACACAAGCGCTGGAAATACGACCCTAATGGCAGTGGCTTGAGTATGATTTCGAGTGCTTTAAACCATACTCAAATCCTAACTTGAGCATTGAGTAGAGTTTTAGAATACGACCCTCAGTGTCGTATTCCAGAACTGTGCTTAATGCTCAAGTCAGGATTTGAGCAGACTTGAATATGATTTCAAGCACTGGAAATACGACCCTAATGGCAAGGACTTGAGTATGATTTTTAGTGCTCACTGCAATACTCAAGTCCTGACTTGAGTATTGAGCAGAGTTCTGGAATACGACCCATAGTGTTGTCAATTTGTGGCGAATTCCCCAAATTGCGTGGAGTTTCAACTCGACTGGGCATTTTGTGGATTGCTATGTGGGGAAATTGCAGGGATTCTAAAATTTTATCTTTTTTTTTAAATCTATCGATTGCTGTTGCATGCTACTTTGATGATTAATGATAAAAACGCTACTTATTTATTTATCTAACAGTCATATCAATATTTTTTCCACATCGCACATATTCCTTATATATCAACATTTACATAGTTTACATAAGCAAGCCGCGTATATAAAATTATTCAGTAGGATTTGAATGAAGGAAACGAAGACACAGAAAATTTTGATGACATTACAAGTGTGGGTAACATCTGTGACGTCGGTTTTTTTTTCAAGTTACAACACTAACACAGAACAATAAATACAGTAAGTTAACGTAGCGCGCGTGCCAAGTGTTGGCGTAGTTCCGCCTATTTGGGCGCAGTCCGCCATTTTCGGTTTGTACGTTACGGTTGTGTCAATTCTTTCGCGCAAATTGTCTAAAATAGTAGAAAAATGCTTTATTGGTAGTGCAAAAATAATGGTCGCAAAATAAAATATTACCCGTGGGGGTATTTCACATAATCGGTAAGTCTTATTTTCATAAAACATTGAATTTTCTCTATATCGAATTGATTTTTTGTACTGTAACAAACGAAAGTAAATATTGTCCCTGAGCAATATACATCTCGAGTTTTCCACGCTAGTAGCGAACAAAAGCTAAGCGAAAAAATGCTTCATGAGTGTTTGGTTAATCGTTCACTTAATTGATCGAAATGACGTTCATTCTGCTAAGTGTGCGTTAAAGAAGATGTCTATTATCGGGAAGATACTATTTTCTACTCGTTCAGATGTGTTAGTCGTTCGTCGTAGTCCTGCTACTGGCCGCAAGATGGCAGCGCGTAGAATAAAGTTTCAATATAAAATCAAAACATCGTAACTTGCAATAAATATATTATTGAACTTTCAACGATATAGCTTTCAACGATGGGTAAAATTTAAATTATATTAACAGTCCTGTAACTTATTCTGTAATCTGGGGGCCTACCACAACATTAAATAATATTACTTTAACCTTACATTGACTTTTCGAACCATAACGCGCTTAAAGTAAGCTTATTATAATGTTAAAACCATGATGTTTTATTGGCAGCTTTGTGACAATTCATTCACTCAGATCGTACTACGACGCAACTTTCACATTAAAGTAATATTGCTCTTATGTCAAATTAATACTCGGACGCAGCGGAAACAATATTATTTTCGAATTTATTGTCTAAATATTGATTTGTAACGATTAAAAGTTAAGTTATACTTATTTACTTACATAAATATCTTCAATATTTTCTTTATTTTTTACTTAATAGTACATAGGAAATAATTTCTTAATAAATTAAAAATACGCGATGTTTATTTCTCGAAATTACGACAGCGACATCTATATGCTCCTTTCCTATTTTTAGTAAGGAATATACTATATTGGGAAATCATTCGTTCTTTCAATTACTTTAATAATAAATACATTAGTTGGTTGACAGGTTTGTTATGATACGAATACCTATAAGTAATATTATAATAATTAAGCTTAAATTGAAATAAGATTGTTTTCGGAAAGGTTATGGTAGGCCCCCTGGGAGCAGTAAAATTCATTTTGGTATAACTACCTGATTGCATCACTAGTCAATAACTAATATATATATATATATATATATATATATATATATATATATATATATAATTAGTTAAATATATATAGGGTAAAACCGGGATAAATGCGTCACTTTTTGAAGTGGCCTCCTAATTTAAAACCTTTAATTTAAAAATTTACCATGAATAATTCCTATGGATATAACTAGTTTAGTCTTTTACATCACATTAATACTTGATTTTATTGATGTAATATTTACTGATTTTGAAGAAAAACATTTTTTGCAAACCTATTTTTTTGAGGATAGATGCCTACCTATATGGATAGACGCCACACAATGAAAATACTAAGAAGTATAGATGCCCTTTAGAATAAAATAGTAAAATTCATTATAAAATGTTTTATTTGTAATCTTTAATATATTGCATATACATATTACATCTTTAATAATAAATATATACGTATTTAAAGTTACTACCTACTTCACTTCATATTTTTGTAGCTATCAAAACATTCTATACAAAAATGTTCGCTGTTTGAACTTTGAATAATTTGTCTTTTTGGTACTTTTACTTACTTTTAAATTATTATCATTTACATGTCTTGTTCACTAAAATTATTTATTTCTTTATTTTCTTTTCCTAACTTTCTTGGCTTGTCCTTTGCCCCTAAGGGCACCAATACCGCAAAAAATCGAGGCGACTATC